GCCACTTGCAAACAGGACGATCAATGAGCAGCGAAGCAGATCTTGACGGGGCGACGAGCGCTCTCTCGACACCGGAGAAATTCAGATCCTCCTCGACCTCAACCACACGAAAGAGGTTTGTGCGGTCTGAGGGGATGATTGAGTGCCTTCTGTCTCTGCGCCTTGGTGCAATGGCCTCCTCCTTCACTTGCTGATGATCATCTTGAAGTTGGCTAATGAGCTCCGTGGATAGTGCCGGGACCAGCCACAAAACTGTTCATTTCCACGGACAGAATCCCACTGGCATGCATGTGTAGCCCAAATAACCGTAGCTGGCTCTCTGTAGCGACGTCCATCGTGTGAAGCAGCTACGGCTGTAGTGAACGCTGCAGCGACGGCCACGCATTCTTTCTCGATGTCCTCCGTAATGCGGCAAGTACAGATACCGTGGTAAAGGGAAGAGGCCACGTCAGGAAGTACGCCCGATCGAGTGCAAGGCCCAGGTGCGAGACGTTGAATGTCGGTCACTGCCGGTCACAGTCGGTTGTAGTCTAGCACTGTCGGTCACAGTCGGTTACTGATCGGTACTTTATGTAACAATACTATTCAACAGCTAACGTTGCTCATGTGTGTATACAGATAAACGCTTGCGTTCAAGTGGTGAACACATCCCCTCTTCATTTTGCAGTTTGCGTCACTAAGACTGCATTATCTCACAACCACGGATTGGGGTTGCGTACGTACCGCCATTATCCCGCTAATCGACTGGCTATAGAAGAAGATGTTTTGGCGACGGTCGACTCCCTCAAAAAGTCAGGCACACAGACGCAAAACACTCTGAAATTTATCGTGGAAAACACTAGCAGCGATCCAACTCCTCAAGATGTACGAAACCTAATCCGGAAGCTAAAGAAACAAGACCAGGCCGTGTCATCTCGTTCTCAACGCATCAAAAAATGGATGGTGGACTTATGTGCTGTTCAAGGGAACGTAGGGCATATTTTTGTGGACCCATCAGGCAGAAAGGTTCGTTTTGCGTCTCAAGTATTGTGAATCGGTCAGTTTGATTCTAAATGTGTGTGTTTGGTTTTGTAGAAAATTGCTACGTGTATTACACTACAAACGAAGCACATGATTGACATTTTAGCAGATTCCCTGAAGTTTTAATGATCGACGCAACGCATGGTACCAACGCCTCAAAGTACAAGATTTTTTCGTTCATGGCTCATGATATTTTCGGGAAAGGTCAGTACGTACAGCACGCTATCCTACAAAATGAACGAAGTGAAACGCTGTTTTCGGCGAGAATTTAAGAAGCAGAATCCTTCCTGGACTAAGCTGCAGTGTGTGATCGTGGACAAAGACTTTACCGAAATTGGAGTTTTGCAGACTGCTTTTCCAGACGTTCGTATACTTCTCTGTCAATTTCACGTCGTGAAATATTTGCGGGAGGAGATTGCATGCGCCGAATATGGCTTCTCGACGTGGCAAAAAAAGCAGCTTCGGGCAGTTGTCAATCTGTTTGTGTACGCAAAAACGGAACGGGAGTATGAAAAGCACCGACGCTACATGACACGTTTGACCTGTATTGGTACCAGCCTTGGCACCGCCACGGCTAGATCTGGTGCAATCGTGGAATCGGGTGCGGAATCTGTTGCAGTCGGTGGAAGTGTGGAGTCGGTTGCAGCATTAAGTACTGCTGTGGACACAGAGCAGGCTGCCTTAAATCACCCGTTTGAGACTTACTTTGCGAAGAATTGGGACGGGTGCAGGGACATGTGGTGTTCTTTCACGAGACAAAGTCAACACAGCTGAGACAACTATCAAGTACTATGATTCCATGAGCAGCAGCTACACTGGTACCCTTAGAGTACTAGCGCACAAACTTGTGCAACACATGCCGGCTACACCAGGACGTTACAGAGTGGTTCCCTATGTTGCGGATGCTGGAGTCCAACTAGACAGCTACAACTGTGGTGTGTACAATCTGCTTGCATTCGAAACGTTCTGTAGCGGAGAAAGCACAGGTGAATTGAGTAAGAAGGCACTGCAGTACCAGCGTTATCGCTACTTGCAGATGTGCATGTGAAGCAATACACTTTGTTTAACTTGAATTATATAGTTGCTGTTAAAACACATTGTGTCGGAAACATCACAGAAAGGTTGAATTCGTCCTTGAGGTTAACATCGGCCTTGAGGGTGACTTCGCTCTAAAAACACTAAGTGCTCGTATCCGGATTATACAGCATATACAAGAAGGGTGAATTTCTTCGTCGGGCACAATCGGTCACGTCGGTGGTCAGTCGGTCACGAATGGCTCGTCTTCGTACCTTTCAGTCGGTCACAATAACGCCTGCCAAAATAAAATGCGTTAGAAGTGTCCATACATGTAGTCCTAGGCAATGTTAAAACCTAACCAACAACATATGTTTTTACCTAGGATAAAGCAATCACTCGCAAACGTGATTTGCCCAACATGTACATGTAACCGAACCTGTTCGAAAGCCCGGGTCATCGAGTTTCGGATGGCCATAACAAACCGTGGACAACCATGTAGCACATAAGCAATTTCTTCTACAGACTCTGTATAGAAACTAAAAGGGGTGGACCTTCTAGGATTCCAAAGGATATCAAGTAAGCATAGGCTATAGATTCTGGCAGATTTTACTACCTCGTATGTTCTGGCTGAGAAGGTCAAAACTTGTATGACCGCGTTTGTGAGGGTATTAGATATATGGGCTTTTCAGTTTGGACGGAGTCTGAGAACTGGCCGAAATGAGCTACCGTATTCCTTAGGATAAGGTTTTAACCTTTTATCGTCCACCTCTGTTGAGAAATACGGCGATCTTATTGGTCAGTCCGCTCTTGACCTCTTTGTCCACTCAGCTCACCTCGGCGACCTCTGCTCAGTCACAAGGTGCTCTGGTATTACATTTCACAGGTACATGTTTGGCAGCCCAAAATGCATGCGTGCAAATGAGCGTCTTTGCGTACATACACCATGTCTCTGGGATGAGCGTTGAAGACGGCTTCTGGGCCTTCTGGAATAGCCTGTTCCGTTCTGCCACGCTTTTAGTTGATCGGACTCTAAAAACCTACAGTAAATTGGTCAAACCCGTTGACTACTCTCATAATGTAATACATAGTGCCATCAATGCCCTTACCTGGTAAGTCTGCTTCTGATACTCGTCCAGATACGAGTGAAAGGCTTCCCAGGACTGAAACTGCGTCTCAACTAAGTCTGCACAGACTTCTGGAGATCCCCTTCCGCTACTACCTCCACTTGTTCTCTCGCCAGGCGTATCAGTCACGCTTGAATCCTCGACACTCCACGTCGCCGCACTGGAACTACTGGATACGGCGGAGTCGTCCACCCAGCTCGCGTCCGAGCCGTCATTCTCACTGCCCCCGCTGTAGGCTTCCTCTGAGGGCCGCTTCTTCGACGCGCGTGCAGGCTGGCGCCGATCCATTGCTGGCGCTGTTCTTCTCGAAATGGAGCGCCCCTAAATGAGTGGCACAAAAGCTCCGTATACGGGTATACAAATTTAACCGTACGAGGGACTCAAAATTTCCTTGACAATTAATTTTTTGCGTTTTCAGTCTGGCACAATAACGACTCTCTTTTATTTTCTTAAAATCGAAAAAGAGTTCATAACGACTGTGTAGCTTGTAAATGGTGTAAATGGCGAAGGCAATTAAACATTAATTGATAATCTGGTAGTATACAGCCTGTAGAGTACGGTAAAATTTTGTAGTGAGTGATTTCGGCGGCAGCATTGACACTGGCATGTGATCTTCGTAGTTACTGTGAGCTCGTTCATGTAGTGTACAGCGCTTTGGTAGCAACTATAAAATCGTGTTAATTCGAGCAACTAATAAACTTACAGCTTATAAAAATGTCGTGACGGCCATAACGACACTGACTCGCATGCATAGCTTGCATTACTATTCAATGTGCTAGTGTTCGAACAGCGGCTGATGCGGGGCACACATCAGACCTGATCTGCGGGCATTCAGTAATTCAGCTATGCATCCTCCCCGTCACACGTTCTGAAGCAAACGTGAAGAGAAGTGAGGCTGGTGCAAGTTGCAGTCGTTGCAATTGATCATGGCGACTCGATCTGTGCCGGCGGCGCGAGAAGGCGATCACGCGCCGCCCCGCCGCTGTCTTGGCAGCCTTCGTGATTCACGACGTGAGACAGACGCTTCCGAGCACTGCTCGCAGCGTCTTTCGATTTGTTAAGCTAGCGCTGGACTACCGAAAGTGCCTAGATCACGACGACGACCGAGAAAACCTTGGCTAGCGAAAGGCTCGAGCGCTCCTGCCCACTTTCGCCAATCGACACCCCGATTCGGAACGGTTCCACGCTTCTCTTCGCCATCGCGTGGTCTGTGTGAGGACCTCACCCTCTTCTTCGTCTTTTGCGCCTCACGCAACTCAAGGCGCCCCGGCGCTGGTTAGCATGCTGCCGGCGACTACCAACAGTGCAAGAGAGGCGGCTTAGCTTGCGGCTATTTAGCAGATCGTTCAACTTGCTTCTGTACAGGCAATATGCCGATCGAGTTCGTGATAAGCTTGATCCTGCAACGCTTTTAAAATTCAGATGTAGTCTTTTACTTAGTAGTATGCCATAGCGCAGGTGTCATCACTGGATTGTTGCTGAGAGATACGGCGTTGCCGGCCAGGGCAAGTCTCCGCTCACCAGGGTGCCGGCGCTGTAGCAACTTAGCGCCAGCACAGATTCGACCAGCCATTCTCGGCGCGGTCGACATCCCATCAGCTCATCCAATTCGATAGTAGCATCCTCGTACGTAGGCGACGTACTGCGTCGAAGTTCGACTCGAACCTCCCGTTGCACCGACCAGCAAACTCGTAGCACGCGTCTAGCAAGCAACAGTCACTTGCTGGTTTTGCCTAAGAGATCTGCTCACCTGATTGCACTTGCTGTCGCGCGTGGATCGGCCAGATAATAGCTGCGTGTCCTCGACTCCAAACTCGAACGCCTCAAGCAGATTCCGTAATGCTGATGGAGCACCGCCACATACAAGGACGACCGAGCTGGGCCTCACTGTACTCGACCACAGGCGCGCCTTCTACCACGGCCGCCGCCAACACCTCGCTACTGTACGATGTGCTGCGTCCGGCTGCCTATTCGAATGAGAACTCGCAGTACCAACCTCAGCAGCAGCCACCACAGTACCAGCTGGACCAGGATAATCAATATCGATACCCCTCGCGCCAAACATTCTTGCCTCCCCCACCACGCGACGACCCGCTCGCCCCAAGCGTCAGTCGGCTGCGGTATCTCCCACCCGGTTTGCCGCGCCCGATGATCGGCGGGTCCCTGTCACCCCACTATAGGACGATAGACAAGACATCACCAGTGTCGGCGGTTGTCACGCCCAGCTTCGTGATTGCCAAGCCTGGGGGCCCGACGACACCAAAACGTGCCACGGACGAGGAGCGAAGAGCGAAGCATCGGGAAGCCCAGCGGCGGTTTGTGAAGCGGAAGAAGGTGAGACCCACTAGGTGATTCCTGCGGAATTAATTCTCCACTCTGACTAAGATTCCCTGTGTGTGTATCTGGATTGTATCGGTTAGATCGAGATGCTGCAGCTGAAGCAGTTGGCAGTGGAGCTTGAGAAGCGACATGGTCTACTACAAGTAGTTAGCGAGCGAGAGACCCTGGTCCGTGAAAACCAAGTCTTGGTGCAGCAACTAGCAGAAGCACAGAAGGAGAAGAGCCGTGAGTCCCCGACCAGCGCGAACCAGCTCGTCTACGAGGTAGGGCTTCACCTTTATTACTCATTTCGGTGCAAACAGGCTGACTGTAATGATGTCAAACAGGAGGTGAAGGTAAAGGAGGAAACGCCGGGAAAAGATATCCAGGATATAGGTGACTCTTGTCAAGAGATCAAGTGGGAGACACGGAAATTCGAGTGGTGAACTACTGTACCTCGCCGAATCAGAACTACCGTTCTTCTAATAAAGTTACATGTATCCGACAGTAGAAGTTTTTTTTTAAAGCTGTTTAGGAGGAGCACATTAGATGACACAGGATTTCTTTTTCAATGTAAGGAGAAGTTATTTCTTCTGATACATTAGAGTTGTCAACTTCGACTCTTCTCTTTAGTTCTCAGATCTGCTTGCCACATTGTCAAGCTTCACAACTAGCAAATCTCGCTGCATTGTTTAGTGCCAACTTATTACATCTTGGTCACCTCCACCAATGCAGCTTAAGCTAAAAGATCTAAGGATCCATGCTATCGCGCGAAAACATCTCTTTGGCAATGATCATGCGCTGAATTTGGGACGTACCCTCGTAAATCTGGTAAATCTTGGCGTCACGGAACAGCTTCTCGACAGGGTACTCCGTGTTGAAGCCAGCGCCACCAAAGATCTGAATGGCATCCGTGGTCACCTGGTTGGCGTGGTCGCCAGCGAAGCGCTTGGCCATGGACGCGTACATGGTGTTCTTGCGACCACAGTCAATCTCGTACGCAGCCTTGTACGTCAGCTGTCGGCCAGCCTCAATACCCGTGGCCATATCGGCCAACATGAACTGGATGGCCTGGTGCATGGCAATTGGTGCGCCCATTGTCTTACGCTCCAGCGCATACTTGCGCGCCTCGTCAAAAGCACGACGCGCCAACCCAACAGCGCCGATGGCTACGGGCGGACGTGTGATATCGAAGGCCTGCATGGCGATCTTGAAGCCATAGCCAACGTCGCCCAACACGTTCTCTTCCGGCACCGCGACATCTTCAAAGGAGATGCCGCGCGTGTCCGAGCAACGCTGGCCAATATTAATTTCCTTACGGCCGACAGTAATACCGGGCGTGTCGGCGTCCACGATAAAGCCCGTGAAGGCCGAGCCAGCGTTTGCATTCGGGTCAGTCTTGGCCAGTACAAAGTACCACTTGGCCACGCCACCGTTGGTGATCCACATCTTGGACCCATTAATAACCCAGTTGTCGCCTTTCTTAACGGCCGTCGTCTTGGCACCGGCCACGTCAGAGCCGGCACCGGGCTCGGTGACACAGTAGGCGGCCTGCACAGGCTCCTCCACGAGACGGCCCAGATACTTCCGGTTCTGCTCGTCCGAGCCGGCCACCAGCAGTGGGGCTGTGGCTAGGCCGTTCGCTTCCATGGCCGTCGCCATACCTGTGCAGCCGTAGGCCAGTTCTTCGCCGATGATGCAACCGTCCAGCGAGCCGAGGCCCAGGCCGCCGAACTTCTCAGGCACGTGCGTGTTGACGAGCCCGAGTTCCCAGGCCTTCTCGAAGATCTCCTGTGGGTACTCCATAGTCTGGTCGTAGTGCTTTTCCTTAGGGATCATTTCCTCGCGGGCAAACTTGCGGGCCAACTGCTGGAACTCGCGCTGGTCGTCCGACAGCTTGAGCGAAAAGGCAGAGAACTTGGAGTCATCAATATGTTGGCCCAGGGCGAAGCTGCGCGTGCCCGTGGGGTGTAGTAGGCGAGAGGCGTGGCGGAGGGTCTTCGCTGGGAGCATCGTTGCCAAAGGACGTCAGATTCTCAAATGCCGAGCACCTGTTCCCGTTGCTATGTGAAAAACCGACGTGCAAAAAGACGTTAGCTGTAGAACATGAATAACCTGTTATAACGTATACAGTGATCAATTATTAATATATGAAGTCTTCTTGACTTAATACAGAAACTTTCGGAGTTCAAAACCTAATATGAAATAAGGGAGTGACCAACTTCAACAACAAAGATGCAAATACGTTTTCAACGCACTCGTCATCCTAGAAACTTACGATGCCAGCATCGTCAACGGCTCGCCAACATGAGCGCTATCATTGCTGCTGCGAATGCCATCAGCGATAATTGCTGTGGACGTATTCTTGCTGCGTCGCTACATCCGCATCGAGCTGCTTGCTCTCTCAGGACGCCAAAGTTGTCGTTCCAGTAGCCGTTGACTGTGTGTGCGGGATCGAAGAACTGATCTTGCGGCGCGTAAACACCGTCACACTGCTCGTACATGGCGTCGATGAGAGACTGACACTTGGGCAGACATTCGAAGCTTGTCGGGTCACAAGCCAAGCACGACCCGTACGTGGAACCGTTACCTTCTGCAGCAAGCTGCTCAGCTGCAAACCCACAAGTAGCCCACGACTCACCTTCAGGTGACGGGTTGATATACGAGGAAGCGTCAGCCTTCTTCGCAGTGTTGAGCAGTAGAACGGTGAATAGAATCCACCCCGAGCAATGGAGCGGTTTGTGAACAGCCTTACTAAGCGCAGTCTTCATTTCGTCGAGATGACTAAGCTGCCGAGGCTCACAAAGCAAAAAAAGTATTTTTATCACACGACACAAATGGATTTAAGTCAACAAAAATGATTCTCACATTTGCCGACAACAGCAACTTTTGTTTCGTCGTGCAACCATGTTGCCTTTTGTTGCTCTCTAGTAGCTGCGGCCCCAGAGCACCCAGCACTTGGCCGGCTTGCCACTAATGAAGCACTTGGTGTCTGCAGTCACTGGGCTCTCGTCGTTCTTCTTGTAGGGAATGCATAGCGTCTTTGCAGCAGCACTGGTGGCCGTGTTCTCGGCCTCATCCTCCAGACCCATGAGAGCCAGCGACTCCTCGCGCGACTTGGTCTTGACGATCTCCTCCCACTCGATCTCGTCGCAGAATGGAGTCAGAGCCATGCAGCCGTCCTGGAGAGAAGGCACAAAGTCCTTCCAGTCGGTCACTTCGCGGATGTGGCCGTCGCGCTGGGCCGTGGCACGCTCCAGCATTTCCTGCTGGATCTGCTCCAACAGGGCCGGGATACGGGTGGCCAACTCGGCCTCAGGGATGTCCTCCTTGGCTCCGTTGTCACGACGCACCACACGCACCTGTTTCTTTGCGATATCCTTGGGGCCGACCTCGAAACGGAGAGGAACACCCTTCAGCTCCCAGTGGTTGTACTTCCAGCCGGGCGTGTATACACAACGCTTGTCGGCTTCGATACGGACGCCGGCGTCGGCCAACTTGGCCACGATCTCGTCGGCCTTGGCGAAGATCTCTTCCACTTCGTCCTGGTTCTTGAACGGGATAGGCACCACAATGACCTGCGTAGGGGCCACACGGGGAGGCAATACCAGACCCTTGTCGTCACCATGGACCATGATCATCACGCCCAGCGAGCGAGTGGTAAAACCCCACGAGTTTTGCCACGGGATGAGCTTCTTGCCGTCCTCGTACTCGGCCGTAATGCCGAACATCTTGCCAAAGTTCTGGCCAAGCATGTGCGAGGTCGCGGCCTGGATACCACGGCCTGTGGCCGGGATAAAGCCCTCGATCGTCGTGGTGTAGTCTGCGCCGGCAAATTTCTCCTTTTCAGTCTTCACACCCTTAATCATCGGCACGGCGAGCAGCTCCTCGTAACATGCCGCGTAGAAATCCAACACAGCACGCACTTCCTCGTCGGCCTCTTCCTTCGTGGCGTGGGCCGTGTGGCCTTCTTGCCACAAGAACTCACGTGTGCGCAGGAAAGGCGTGGGGTTCTTAAACTCCCAACGGACCACGTTGTTCCACTGGTTGAGCTTCATAGGAAGATCACGGTGGCTCCGGATCCAGTTCTTAAACGCCGGGTACATGATGGTCTCACTGGTGGGACGGATGGCGATAGGGTCCTTCAACTCCGAGTTGCCGGACTTGGTAACCCAGGCCACTTCGGGGGCGAATCCCTCCAAATGATCCTTCTCCTTCTCCAGCTTTTCCTTCGTGACGAACATGGGGAAGTAGCAGTTCTTGACGCCAATAGCCTTAAGGTTACGGTCCAGAAACTGCTGCACACGCTCCCAGATCTCGTACGAGTATGGTCGAAGGATGTAGCAGCCGGAAACGTCGTAGTAGTCGATCATACCGGACTTGGTGATGGCGTCCGTGTACCAATCGGCAAAGTTGGCCTTCTTCGTGACCGACATTCCTTCGTTGGTCTTCTGCTCCACGGGTTTCTTCTTCTCCTCCTTCTTGGCCTTAGGGGCCTTCACCTTCTCAGTCGTGGCCGATGTTTCCTCCGTCTGAGCGGCAAAGTCCACAACAATAGGCTCGTGGTTGTAGTGCTTGACGAACTTTAGCAGATCGTCCGACTTGATACTGTACGTCTGGTCGTTACGCAGCGGGTGGCAATTCACCTGCGTGGTGTCCAGCAGCGCCTTGTCCAGTACGAATCGCACCTCGGTTTTGGTGTCGTGCATGACACAAAGGGGCGAGACGGAGCCCTTGGTCACTTTAAGCGTATTGGCCAGCACATCTTCGGTGGCAAAGCGCAAGTTCCACTTCTTACCGCCGATGCCGGCCGCGTGTAAACGTGCACCGAGTTTCTTAGTGTCCACAACGGTAGTGGGGGCGGCCGTGACGAGGAAAAGGCCCTCCTTTTTGTCCTTAAACACGAGGTTTTTCGTCGAAAGGCCTGGCAAGTGGCTCAATTCGGCGATCACATCCTCAGTGGTGGGAAGTTCGCGGTGCTCGTGCTTCTCGTACGCAATCGAGAGCGACGAGAGCGCGGCGGCGACCTCAACGTCGGCCACGGACTTGTCCAGCGTCGCCATGAAGCTAGGGAGACGGAAGCTGGGAGCCAAAATGGAGAGCTTCTCGGAATGCTTGGATGCGCCAGTAGTCCACTGTCCGGGATTGAACAGTCGTTAATGCAAGATGACTGAATTGAACTATAGATGATAAAAACGAGGCGAGAAAGGTCGGACACCACAAGATTGATGACGATGTGGGCCACACAGTGATACACTGAGTGATGGCTTCAACTGTGGAAAAGGCAACTTCGTTACCAGGGTACATGTAGTAGGATTCTCGTTATGCTTATCCGGCAGTGGCAAGCGTTGACAAACAGGGCAAATGCTGCTGTCGTGCGACATCGATCACTGCTAATTACACAGCCCGTGTCAATCGCTTAACGACTGCTCCCGGGCCGTCCATTCCTCTTTTGCAGTGACAACATTTCTCGGACGCGCTTCGGTTGTACTCGGCAAAACAATCAGTCGTTCTTGAGGCGGTGTTGCAGTCTTGCACCGCGAAAAAGGTTAACCGCTACGGATGAATTCATTTTGGTACATGTAATTTGTAGTGCAATCCGTTTGCAGCGTATTGTCATCTCGCGTACCGCAAACCACTCAAGCGGATTTCGGTGAAGCAAACGCTTGGCCTCCTCCGAATTTCAAACCGAGCGCTGCGGAGCTCGCAAGTCAAGCCCAAGCGTTGGCGCTCACAGCATGGGAGCTGCCACAACCCCACGGCAGGCATGAAAGTGATGATCCCGGCCGGTGCCAGCTGGCAGTTCATGCGGAAAAGGCTAAACGATGGGGACTTATCTATCGAGGCGGAGGAATAGTCAGTCCGCTGCCACGTACGCATCGCACAAGCGGTTTCCCCCTTTGACCCGCGAAGACGATGAAGCTCCTGCTCGCAACGACCGCGGTGGTGGCAGCTTTGGCCTGTAGTCTGTCAGTCGTGGAGGCGCTGGACCGTGACAAGATGCTGGACGTGGTAGGAACGGTGCACGGCAACCGCCACATTGTTGTCCAGTACGATGACCTGGCAGAGGATCGCGAGGAGCGCAAGTGCTACGGTCACTTTACACGCGATATCGACCCGGTGTGCGGCTCAAATGGCAAGAAGTACACGAACCTCAGCATGTTTAACTACCGCAAGTGCATGATGAAGATCCAGGAGGACACCGAGATCCAGCTCGTCGATATGGACTTCTGCAAGGACGCCGAAATGGAAGACATGGAACACATTGACGAAGATTCGTAGACGAGCGAGGCACTAGGGACTTGTCCAACGGCAACTGACCGGTCATTTGCTATGGGGGCCCTAGAAGCGTAATGGAGACCTTGGCCGTCCACCAAGAGTTTTATGTGACGATGCCGTCCCGGGAGACTGAGGCGCTTAGGGGCGTAGTGATGCCGCCTGCACATTAGGTGGCGGCAGGCACGCGTCCGTGTATAAATATTCAGCAACATGAAATAAGTCTATTCAATGCGGTTTCGGTCATTGGCTTCCGAAGGTGAGTTGGTCACCACCGAGGCGAACAGATCCCATGAGCCAAAAGCAGTAACAACGCGACACCCGTGCCATACGCTGAAAATTGGCCAGTTGGTTAATTGCATCGAACAACGGTGGCGGCGAAGACTTCCAGAGCTATTATCTCGTGGCGCGGTACGGGAGGAATCGGACCAAAATGAAGGCGATTGTTGTCATGACAGCGGTGACAGCGCTAGTAGCGGTTTGCTCAACTGTGGTGAACGCAACTCCACAAGAGAAGATGCTTCGTGTGGTGAGCGAAGTGCACGCGCATCCGGATGTATTTGTGAATGGCGAGGAGAAGCGAGCAAAGCGACATGGACACTGTCACGACACAGGTGCGACGAACGAGGACCCCGTGTGCGCATCCAACGGCAAGCAGTATTTAAACGACGAGGTCTTTCAGTTCCACAAGTGCCTCATCCAGGCAGAGTACGGAGAGATCATTGATATCGTGGACATGGATATCTGCAAGAACGCCAAGAAGGAGGACGACGAGCACCCAGACGTTCCTGACATCGACTACATGTAAGAGCTAGTCGTCGGTGGAGTATTGGGCGAGCTGTAAACCGGCCAGGCGACGTCTACGACGACGGAGACGGTCGAAATGTTATTGGAGCAAGTAAGGTACCGGTATGTTTCGCTTTGGATAGAGCGGGTGCAGCCCGACAAAGCTAGCATCCATTGTACCATAATGCAACTAAGCTTACTTTTAAACATGAATGAAGCATCGAAATGGCTACGTTTGCGAGGCATACCGGTATGTACTGTGGCAGATCTCGATAATTTCACGACACCATCATAAGGAAGCGCTTGCTTCTGCTGTTCACGTACAGTACAACACTCAGTTTTTTTGTAAGCACCGCCCTCACTATAGAATTTCCTCGTGTCAAGCAAATACGTCATTTCCACAATCCTTGGGGGTCAAACGAACAAATACATTAGTGAGAGCTTATGCAATGACCATCAGCTCGATCCGAAAAGGGACGAGGAGAGGCGGGTATTTCTTGACTGCTTGCTGCTTGTTCTCCAAATACGAAGTGAGAGAGCTCGCCACGTGTGGTCAGCAACAAGCAGGAGCAGTGTATACCGGTACCGTTTCGGTATACCGGTACTAAAAAAAACTGGTGTGGAAAACACAATTCCCTTGCTTCGCTCTGCTTCGCTATGGATGAATATCATCACTTATCGGACCTCACTAAGGCGTATTATCAGTTTTAATGGCCAATCATATATTTATTTGCTTTGGATAACCAATCATATCCAAATAATGTGTCAGTCTTGGCCAATCAATCTGCCAAGGGTTAGGTTGGTCATCTAAACTCCACATCGGACGTATTAGGTCCGAGGGGCACGGAAAATATTTGTATCCCTTTACAAATATTATGATGTCGGCGTATCACACGCATATTTTCATTTTATCCGACCGGCGTAATCAATTCAGTACAATTGACTCCATAAGCGCTTCTAAATTTTGTTGTATTTATACCGTAGCAATGTCGTGAAAGCGCTTAAATGACGACATGATTAAGAGCCTCTGTGATGGCGAGATGCAGTAGCTACAGTTGTAGCTTCTACACTGCATATTCCTATTATTGTACCCGTTTTTAAATAGACGTTGATAATTTACGTCAATTACTCGGATATAGTTTACATTATTTAACGCTCGCTAGCCACACACAACTACTATTAGCATCTAGCTCTACATCGACACGACCAGCGGTAGCTAGGTGGCCTGACGAAACCACCGGAGTCCGCCCTTCGAAGTGCCACATGAAGGCACGCACCCAACGGGCAGCCTGCCGCCCGCCCTGCCGGGTAAGACATCGCAGCCCTTGACGCTTCGCCCGCTGCTGATATCCCCTTCGCTTCTTCCGTCTTTGAGCTCCTTCCTATCCTTGCTGCCGCCATTCTTGTCGCCGCCGCCACCCTCCTGCTGCATGCCGTCGTCGCCACCCTCCTGTCACACGTGCCGACGCCGTCATCGCCCCTCGCCGTCTCCCTCCCCGCCTTCTGCAAAATAATAGTGTTTAGTGTGTGGGCCACAATATCTAATCCATAAACTAATAAATTGGTTTTGAGGGTTGTCAAATAGCGTACCCTAGTTTTGGTACAGGTCCGATAAGGTCATCCGGTCCGATAAATTTTGGTATGGATGAATATCATCACTTATCGGACCTCACTAAGGCGTATTATCAGTTTTAATGGCCAATCATATATTTATTTGCTTTGGATAACCAATCATATCCAAATAATGTGTCAGTCTTGGCCAATCAATCTGCCAAGGGTTAGGTTGGTCATCTAAACTCCACATCGGACGTATTAGGTCCGAGGGGCACGGAAAATATTTGTATCCCTTTACAAATATTATGATGTCGGCGTATCACACGCATATTTTCATTTTATCCGACCGGCGTAATCAATTCAGTACAATTGACTCCATAAGCGCTTCTAAATTTTGTTGTATTTATACCGTAGCAATGTCGTGAAAGCGCTTAAATGACGACATGATTAAGAGCCTCTGTGATGGCGAGATGCAGTAGCTACAGTTGTAGCTTCTACACTGCATATTCCTATTATTGTACCCGTTTTTAAATAGACGTTGATAATTTACGTCAATTACTCGGATATAGTTTACATTATTTAACGCTCGCTAGCCACACACAACTACTATTAGCATCTAGCTCTACATCGACACGACCAGCGGTAGCTAGGTGGCCTGACGAAACCACCGGAGTCCGCCCTTCGAAGTGCCACATGAAGGCACGCACCCAACGGGCAGCCTGCCGCCCGCCCTGCCGGGTAAGACATCGCAGCCCTTGACGCTTCGCCCGCTGCTGATATCCCCTTCGCTTCTTCCGTCTTTGAGCTCCTTCCTATCCTTGCTGCCGCCATTCTTGTCGCCGCCGCCACCCTCCTGCTGCATGCCGTCGTCGCCACCCTCCTGTCACACGTGCCGACGCCGTCATCGCCCCTCGCCGTCTCCCTCCCCGCCTTCTGCAAAATAATAGTGTTTAGTGTGTGGGCCACAATATCTAATCCATAAACTAATAAATTGGTTTTGAGGGTTGTCAAATAGCGTACCCTAGTTTTGGTACAGGTCCGATAAGGTCATCCGGTCCGATAAATTTTGGTATGGAATACACCTTTCCACAATCCTTGGGGGTCAAACGAACAAATACATTAATGAGAGCTTATGCAATGACCATCAGCTCGATCCGAAAAGGGACGAGGAGAGCGGTGCCCCCTTAAGTGGTCATGCATAGAGGCTCCGCTAATGTAGCGTCGAATCCCCCGGTGGGCCTGCCACCATGTTCGCTGAAAGCGTGGTGACGGACTCCTTGCAGATCCTGGTGTAGGTCTTATACGCGTCGGAAACCCAGCGGCCGTGGAACTGGATTGTAAGTGCATCCGTGCCAGATCGGTACATGTGCGTGGCTCCCCCGGCGCGTAGAGAATGAGAGCTGAACCGGCGGGGATCTTCGCCAGTGCGAGCGGCAGCGCCTTTGATGGCTTCGGACACATCTTCGGTCGATACGCAGGCTGGTTGTCCCGAGCGTGAGATGTACACGGCGGCTGGGATGCTTGCAGGGAGATTCGGAGATTCCTCCTGCTTGATGGGCTCCGAACACGGGGCACGGAAACTGGTGACCAGAGCGAGTTAGCATCCTAGTCGTTGGAGCCCCACCTTGATTGGTCTTGGACCCGATCAGGTGAATCCAAACAGCCTGAGCCTGTGACGGACACTGAGTCGGCTGCCCAGCGGTATCCACAACCACGATGTCTTGCGCTCGTAGAGCGAACCACTTGAAGGATCCACCTTGGATGGCTACGATCTCTGATCGTCTCAGAAGAAAGAAGAATGCCAAGCACACTACCCCCCACAGGGCTTGGCCACGGGGATGTTCCATGGCCAGGCCTCGAAAGCATGCTTCTAAGAGGTGGATTGACACGGGTGCCTTGCGGCGTCGGGGCGTGTCGAGACGGCTAATTCCTTTGAGAAGCATGCGGATGTGCGGGTGTTCAATCGGGAACTCACATCCGGAGGCGGCGAAGAAATGGCGAACGCCATGGAGCACCGCCATGATGGAGGCGCTACGGATGGGACCGCCGGATCCAAAGCCAAACTGAAATCCATGTAAAACGAAATCCGATATGTGCTTCACCATATCAGTGAGAGTCATGCCATGAAGCCAGGGAGAAAGTCCTCGTCGCGAAGTCCACCTTTTCCACTTGTTGAAGGCTCGATTGTATTGATCAAACGTGGAGTCGGCAACGGAGTGCGCGCGGAGATATGCTGCCAGATACTGGCTAGGCCTTGAATGTCCGTCTTCGGGGCCACCTGCGACCACCCATGTGTTAGCGAAGCAAACACAGCTGCAAAAGATGGGTTAGCGGGAATACGGGAGCCGGCATCGGCGCGCGTATTATCTGTTCCAGCGACGTGAGACGCTGAAAACCGAAGCCGATATGATGCTTCCCACCAGCTAAGCAGGCGGATCATCACTTGAGCCCTGGGGTTGCGTGAGGCCAGCTTGTTTTGCCATGCGACAGCGGATGAATTGTCGATACGGAAGTGCACGTGCCGCGGTCTGTTGCCGATGAGGCTGCTCGCGGACCATCGTTTTCCCCATGCGTGCACCGCGAAGGCACACGAGAGGAGCTCGCGGAAGTTGATGTCAAAGCCGTTGGCCGCTCCCATTTTGAATTCCGCTATCAGCGATAGCTCGGATGGGGTAAATGCGTAGGTGAGCGCAGTCTTCGCCAATACGTCAAGCGCACACAGCCCGACATCCGACGCGTCCATTTCGACCACAACATCCGGGGGTGGGAGAGCGTTGAAGTATTCCAGAGATACACCGTTTAGCTGAGGGCTGTGCAGAATAAGCCACCACCAGAGCAGGTCTACTCGCATTGCGTCTGTCACGGAGACGCCCTAAAAACGATGGAGTTGTGCCTCACGGTGGCGGAGACGCTGAAGGAACGGTCATGCGGCCCGAATGCAAGTCGCCACATGACGTAAGCTGCCCATTAATGACCGATACGCTTTTCTAGTCAACGTCGGGGAGTGGATAGCTGAAGCGACAATCCTGCGTGCCTTTTGGATCTTGGAAACCGGTAGTGCGACCACTCCATCGACTGAGTCGAACTCCAATCCGAGAACGCGCTGGCGTGTCTTCCAATCAGTGAACTTCTCGATGTTGATGGCGTCAGCGCCCAGAATGGCCACCATTGCGTAACGGAGGGAGCGGTCTATGTCGGAACAGGTCGTTCCTATGTCTGCAGCTACGTTAATGTGGTCATCCACCCAGTGATAATTGAAGAAACCGGCCGGAGAAGCTGCGTTGGTATGGCGGCCATGAACGTGGGAAATCGCTCCGCCGAAAATCTCGTAGAATCCCGGAGAGCCTGTCCATCCGAAAGGCGCGGAAAGCTCGATCACCAGGGCGTTCTCTTCCTCGATCAGCCCGGCAAACAGGTAGACGCTGTTGCTGTCGATGCTAATATTCCGGAAGGCTGTAGCGACGTCGCCCGCCATCACATAGATTGGTACATCGGGGAATTCTTGCTTTGCTTTCAGGATCTCCCGTGCTACCGCGTCGCAGTGGATGTAGTCAGGTTAGGTAATGCTGTCTTGATCGGTGCAATCGTTGATCGATGTTCCTTCAGGATATGACAGATCGTGGATCGTACGTCCGGAAACCGTGCTGTCCTCGCCTCCCTTGTCCACGACGCCGAAGGGACTAATGATTATCTCTGGCCACTGCTTCAGAAGATCCATGTCGAGGACCAGGCACCTCCCAGCATCTTGCTCTTTCCTGATATTCTTGCGTAAGATATTAATTCTGCCCCGAGCCGAGCCATGATTCACTGGGCGATCTGACTGCCGAGGTGGTGTTTCTTTTAGCTGGACTTCGACACCTTCTTGAGCAATCTTCTGCATCTGCGCCAAGTGCTTATATTCTCTGCACAGTTCGCCAAGAACCGCTGGAACCAAATTCTTGTTCGGACGGTAATCCCGCTCCGTTTGTCCCCGAACCAGCTCCACGAACGCCGGTAGCAGTAAAGCTGAACGGCGTGCGAGCTCCGACAGAGAGCGTTGCAATGGCTTATTAAGCACGTATACAGGTCCATCAGCGCCTTCTTGCGTTGTAGGGAAATCAGGCGCTGGTAGCTTTATGCCGAAGCTGACCATGGCCTTCCCGAGCGTAGCCGATTGAACTTCTCGATTCAGGTCCCGTCGCCGACGTGCATTCTCATGCATTTGGTCCGCGGTTTGACTTGAGACTACACGGCGACGTGGGGTTCTTTCGATCCGAAGTATGTTTCCTGTGCCATCTCTGTTAGCCGAGTGTAGCTTGTCTGGATTTGCTTGACTTGTACCCGAAGTCGAAGGCATGCTTGTAGATATATCAGGATTCATCGGAATTTGGACCTTGGTAGACTTCGTATTATCGCGTCGGTCGTTTCGTCGTATATTCTCGCTAGTGTACAGATCGTCTGACCTGGATGGGCTGCACCCCGGGGGGCGTGTATACGTACACGTGGCGAGCTCTCTCACTTCGTATTTGGAGAACAAGCAGCAAGCAGTCAAGAAATAAAGGGGGCTTCCTACAACATTATCGCACGATGACCACTCAAGCGACCACCGAGGCCACCAGTGCTCCCAACTCGCCGTCGTCCAGGGCCGATAATACCCCTACGGACAGCGTAGCTTCCGCCAGCAGAGACGTCGTCGTCGATGTAACAGGCGGTGACGAGCCGTGGACGGCTACATCTGCGCGTACCACAACGGACCCCCCTCCACCGCGCACCAGCAAGCGTGCTGCGCATCGCGGGACGACCGCTGCCGCGTTAACTGAGGCCCGGAAGGGCAAGAAGAAGGCGACGAAGCGCACCCCTGCGGCGAGTACGGGTCGCAAGAAGCTCGGCGATGGTGAGGACAACACGCCGTCTGACCAAGAGCTCGAGGACAAGGTGGCTCCGCCCAAGTCGAAAAGGTCGAAGAAGGCTCCAGCTTCAACGGAGGTACCGGCGACCAGCGTGCAGCTGCCAGCGTCATCCTTCCCCGAGACAACATCGACACGTCAAGGCTTCGACCTGACGTCGTTCATGGCGTCGTTTGATCCCGGTCATGCCACGGTGACGGATACTGCTGACACGCCGGAGTCACGGCTTGAAGGTGAGGCGGGAGAAGTTGCTGCTACGACACCACGAGGGCCTGTTACGGAAGTCATGACAGAAACTGCGTGCGCTGCGAGAGGAAGTCGTCCGTCTACGCCTCCTCCACGGTTATAACGGTGTTGGTCGGGGAGGGGCTACCCCAGCCATCGTGACAGCGCCCAACTCGAAGGGAGAGCTCCCTCCCCCGGACGTTCGCTTTCTGACAAGCTCAAGCTTCCAAGAAGGTTCCAAGAAGACGAAGGGCGACTACAATCCTCCGCAGGCCCACCTGTTGGCTGCGAGTCGGATGTTCCGGGATTTCGGCCTGAACTCAGGTAAGATTACGTCTGCTATGTCTTTTGTTCTACGGGTACGGGAGCTTGAGTGCGTCAAGTTTTGAGCGACACCGGCCGCGGATTTTGCCGCGCGAGCGAGAAATTTCTCCGGAAGGCCTCCGTTTCGCCAATGAAATCCTCTCCTTACCTGCTGATGTACCGGGTTCATCGCTTTCCAGGTTCACCCTAACCTGCGGTGAATCGAGACAAGTGACGTCTTCGGCTATACAGCCTCCTTTGACTATACAGTCCGGGTCGACCATACAGTCACACAAGGCCATACAGCCCCCCTTGACTTTACAGTCCGGGTCGACTATACAGTCACCTCCGGGTATACAGCCACCCTTGACTATACAGTCTGGGTCGGCAATACAGTCACCCACGGGTATACGGCCTGCTTTGACTATACAATCCATGTCGTCTATACAGCCATCTGGTCAGCAACAAGCAGGAGCAGTGTATACCGGTACCGTTTCGGTATACCGGTACTAAAAAAAACTGGTGTGGAAAACACAATTCCCTTGCTTCGCTCTGCTTCGCTACGACTTCGCACACTGCTCGAGCATGAAGACGATTTTCGCGGTGGTTGCTCTATTGTTGGCCTATACACCCGTGGACGCCCTTGTCCGAGATCACAGGCTGCATGTGGTAAGCTCTGTTCACGCGAACGAGCGCGTGTTGGTGAGCGACCAAGAGGAGCGCGAACGGAGTCACGGTCGATGTGTGGATGACGGAACGCGCAATCAAGATCCCGTGTGTGCTTCGAACGGCAAGAAGTACCTCAACATGAACCGCTTTAAGTACAACAAATGCCTCATTAAAGCGGAGGATGGCGAAGACATTACGGTCGTGGACCTGGAGTTCTGCAGAGAGGCGTTACTCGAGGACATCGAGAGCGAGGGGCTCTAACAAGCAGCCAACGACGACTAGCACGGTATCAACTGATTCAACGCCCAAAGTACTATAGCTTTTGTCTAGACAACTCGGGACCGTATTCAAATAATTATCCTTCTTTTTGCTTAGCACGGTGGCAAGTGGTTGCGCTGGAGTACTATCAATCGCCGGTCCTCTCCTCCGATGGCATTCCAGAGCTTTCGTGGAGTTTTGTCCTTCGGCGGCACCGGTGCCTGGTGTTTGCAGTAAAACAACGGCGATTCTGCAGACCCCAAACCGAGACCCAAGGGTGGTAGTCCTTCTGTTGGGTACTGACACTCTTCACTCGAAATAATCGAGCTATCCGTATTTCCATTAGAAGGCCGGCTTTTTGTAAGTGACGTTCGTGGGCTCGGGCCGAGTGTCTGGAGTACCAATGGTGCTGCAGGAATCTGACATCTCTTTCGTCGGTACGACAGTCCTCGCAGCGGAGCTCGCATGAGTTTCTGGTACGGAGACAGTGGTCTGGATACAAGTGAGCTCTAAGATATATTTTGCCAGTCGTTTGAAAGCAAAATACTTACAGAATTGTGTCACGCCAGTCCTTTTCCTGTTGATCGGCGATGGGGTCGTTCGACTTCATCTGACACGATACAGAGGGAGCAAAGCATTGAAACGTTGGACTACGAGCGAGAAAATCGATGTATGAACATGCGCTTGTATTACCTGACGTTCCGAAGTGGTATTGCTGAAGTCGCCTCGACGGCTTGAAGATACTCTTCCTAGAGAATTGAGGCTACGCAACACAGGCGGTCGATTCGCGGCTTCAATGGGTCGCTGGATGACATGTGCCAGAAGTTGTTTCGCCGACGTTTCGGGGTCCGGGGGTCTGAACGGCAATATTATCTTCTGTTGCGACGGTAATTCAAGCGTGAAATCCTCCATCGTTGCAATTTGCTGATTCGAAGGTACGGACAGGAGTGTTGGTGTGCTTACAGCACTTTCAACTTGATCGCTTACTTCAATCTTTGCATCTTGTGTAGTGCCTTGAATCCGTCGTCGCAGCGGTGGCTTCGGTATTTTTTCAGGTAAAATATCGCGCCTCGATATAAAGAAGGTTCCTTTTGCGAGCCCAGCCAACAAATCGCCATTCGCATTGAGGAAAGAGAGACTGCTGACTGCGGTGGCTAATGTGACTTGGCGAAGGAGATTTCGCTGTTGGTCCCAGACTTTGACAATAGCGTCGACACTGACGGTCAAAACCAGGAACTTTTCATCCAGAAAGTCACCGGCGCTCACAGTTGTATTGTGGTGGTCGTCTGTACCCATAAACGCTTCAACACCTGCAGCTTGGTAGCCAACTGCGTGCAAAACGACGCGACCATCATCGTACCCGGTTAAAATAATCTCGGACAGTGGCGATAGCGCGAATATCGTCGGTTTCTGACCGAGTTCGAGCACATGACGCAGCGCAAACTCTGGCTGGAGACTCCAGAGTTGCACTCGACCCACAGTATCCAATGTTACTAGCAAAGGAGATGAAGCACTAGCACTAATATCCACAATAGAAGTGTCATGCGCATCTAGCGTTAGCGCAGCGTCACGTCCTCCACGCAAACCTGTATGCCAGAAAAGTAGCTGACCGAAGTCACTGCCGCACGCTATCCACTCCCACTCGGACTGAATTAAACAATTGCGACGTAGAAGTGGAGGTACGGGTGGTACCGTAGTCCCTGAACCAAAGTGGGACTGCCGGCGGTGTCGTGCTGATCTCCCGGTTCTCGCTTGCGGACGAACCGCATTAAAAATTGGCGGGAATGGACACACGCAAATACAACGCAGAGCTGTGCCGGTGTTGGCATTGCCTTGACCACCTGAAAAGTTGTTAAAGCTCTCGGGTGTTTCGGTGTTGTCATCCAGGGGGCTTCGTGCACTACTTCCGCCTGGTTCCCTGGCGATCATCGATGAGTTGAGATCAATCACGCGTTCCACGCTGCTGGTCGTGGCTTCTGCACCGTCTTGCGATTCGATTTCGTCGTTGTTGCCATCGTCGTCTGTAGACTTTCGGTTGTGTGGACGAGGAGATGCATTTACAATAAGCAGCTTTTGGCTGCTTAGTAAGAGAAACAAATGTTGCGAAACTGGATGAAGAGCGACAGCTACAAGATCCAAAGCCTGTTCGTCGGGAATCCACGCGAAGCTGGGCGCTTCGTTTTGCATACGACCTGCGAACACGCGGATCGTTTTATCCATACAGACTACAAGGACAAGCTGCTTGGTTTTTGCTGCCGAATCTCCCTCTTCTTCTTCATCTGAGTATGAACTTCTTCTACCCTTGTTTTTCTCAGTGACTTCACTTTCAAGACGACCTTTACTCAGGCCTTTCACGGGGGACACTACACGCTGTAATATACAGACGGGCACTTGGCACGGCTGGTGTTCTTTTAGAATGGACTGGATGTTGTAGATCTTAATTGTATTACGAAGCTGACAGCAGAATCGATCGGCCAGTTCTGCCTCAGTTGTGCGAGAACTCGCTGGGGCGAGCAGCTGCAACGCATACACGCTGTGGCCAACGTTGAGACGGTGAGCTTGACGGCGCGCCTCGAGGTCCCACAGTCGCACAGAACCATCGAGGGAGCTCGAGATTATGAGACGGGACGCCGTGTGCTCTGTCAAACTTGTGATTGCTTGCGTATGGTCCTTGAAGACGTGGACGATCGAGTTGGGGTGGAGCGAGAGCACAACGATAGCGCCGCTGCTGGTACCGCAGACGAGATACTTGGCGCGTTCTTGCACGATGAAGGCTGTCAAAGTGCCGTGGTCGGATGGGAACAGGTCGTCCCAGCGTTCAAGATGAGTCCCGTCGACGGTGTTGAAGACGTCGATCCAGTTTCTAGTCTGTGCGTACAGCCGTACGCTCTCCGGGCCAAGTCGTAATCGTTCCACCCAACCGGCACGCCCCCGTGAAGTTTTCGGCGACTTAAGCGGTTTCTTTCGACTCGAATGGGTCACTGCAGTGCCATGGAAGAATACCGGCAGATGAGTGAACTCATAGTGAGCGTTGAGAGCTCCTTCGGGCATTGCTGACGGTCGTGGCTTGAACTGCCAGGCTGTACAGCCGTCGACGCCCCCACAGAGCACTCGGTTGTGTCGACCATCAAAGACCATGCTGAGAACGGTGCCACGACCGGTGAAGAGAGCTGCGAGTTCATTCAGATTTGGGTCGTACAAGTGCAGAGCTCCATCAAGTGCCGAGGCAACGAAAATCTGACGAGCATCGACGTATGTGATGGCCTGGATGAACCGCGATGTACGAGCGGGCAGACTCACTACGCGAAGCTGACCGCCGCTGTGAGCGCGCCAAAGCCTTAAACAAGTTTCATCCACCGACGCGAAGGTGTCCTGGTGCCGATTGTAGCACACCGCACCGAGAGCGGAGTTGTGGCCGGTGAATTCGTACTCGTCGTAGATCACAGCACTCTGGAACATGGCTGACATCCTTGATGTAGGAGGCGCACCAAGGCAACAGCACGATATATCATTTTGAAACTGCCGTCATATATTTAGGCGAAGGTAAACGGTCAGTTTAGTAGCCCCGATCAAGTGCCGCCTCAACGAAGGGGTACACTGCTTCTTCTCGAGTAACCCACGCGCGCATTTAGATAGCGTGGGTCGCGCTGTGTGTGCTCTCACTCCCCGTCCCCGATTGGCTAAATAATTTTTAAGTAAAATTTCGAAAATGAGCGAGCCAAGATTTCAAAATAAAGTATTTTTATGTTCTTCTGATACTTTATTAATACTTTTTTCGGTTATCCATTCAATAAAAGAGTGCACAATAATGAGGGGCATCTCTCTTGTCGTTAACGCTACAAGTTGTGGCCCACAACGACACTATGGAATTTTGGAAGTGAAAACCACCGTGAAATGAATTGGCATCTACAACGTAATATTAACTCAGCCTTTTATTTCTACATCACGGGCGTCTACATGTCTTACTTACAAACATCAAAGGGAACGGGTTCGTCTCGATCTTCTTCACACCCAGCGGTTGACCATCGTTTACAGCAACGATGATGTCCTTGGATCCAAACAATACTCGGTTTATACAACAATGGCAGTCGACTTAGTTGCCGTCTTCATCCTTCTTCTTGCTCTTCTTGTCGTCACCGTTGTCCTTCTTGGACTCGGTTTGCTCCGTGTTGTCATCGTCCTGCTGCTTCTTCTTCTTGTCCTCAGTTTGCTCCGTGTTCTCATCGGTCTTGCTCTCGGTGTCTTGGTCCTTGTTGTCGTCGGACTTGGAGCCCTTCGCGGACGTCTTGCTCGTCGTCTCAGTCTGCTCCGCCGTGTCTTGGCTCTGGCTCCCACGGAGCGACGTAGAAGCACCGGTCTTCTCGTCATTCTGAGTGGTAGAACCACTGGACGTCTGCTTGGTCGAGGTGGACGAACCGCTTCCGGTCGCGGTAGTCGAGTTCGACGATGTGCCGGCGGACTGCGAGACGTCTCCGCTGATGTGCACGTCACTCTCCGAGTACTGGCACAGCAGTGGGGACGGACCGTCGCCCAGCATGGACGGCTCGCCGTTGGCGTTGCCCTACGACCACTGACAGATCTTCACTTTGCCACCGCTGGACTTGATGTGGATGTTGCTCAGCGTGGCCTCGTCGCCCCAGTTCTTGTTCACCGTCACGATGGCGTTGTCCGGGCTCACGACGTACACGTTGGAGACGGACACCTTCTTGGGCTTGTTGCCGCACGTGCCGCACGACCGGTAGAGCTTGCTGATGTCCTCGCCGTAGAAGCCGTCGATGCTGACGGTGCCGTAGCCGTTGTGCTGGATCACCTTGTCGTCGGCAAAACGGGCGCCGCCACCAATGACCTTGGACACACTGGAGGCGGTTCCGCCCTTGATGCTGAGGGCGTCCTCGCACACGTCGTCCCACCACACGTTCTCGATGGTGCAGTCGTGGTTGTCGCAGTGGACGCCCTGCATTTGGATCTTGCCGATACTGACGTTCTTCAGGGAGCCACCGACCTCCACCTTGAACACCGCGGTGTCGGATCCGCTCTCGCTCTGACCCGCGCACGAGACGTCAGAGCGCTCGAACGTCTGCATCTTGCCGTCGAACACCTCGCCAGCCTTGACAATTTGGGCCGTCGCGTACTGCACCGTGCCCGTGCTGGTGGGCCACGTGCCATCGGGTACTCAGGCGGCGGTGGCAAGTGCAACGAGGAAAGCAGCGGATGTGGCGAAAGGCGCAAACGACTTGACCATTGTCTGTCTGCGGAACTAAGTTACCCGCCTGTGGACCTGAGTTACCCACTTGGCCAGCGCCTCTTCTGGGCGATGCCATCATCAAAACATCCTCGGAGTCTTCATATACGTCGACGACTCCCAAGCATCTGCCGGATGCTTTGGTACCCTGGCAGCCCTTGCGGGCGCCCCGGGTCCTGACAGAGGTGGAAACATGACTCACCAATGCTCTGTCGGACTGCGCAGGGCGGTTGGCACCGATTGCCTTGCCTCGGGTCCTGACAGAGGTGGGAACATGACTCACCAATGCTCTGTCGGACTGAGCAGGGCGGCTGGCACCGATTGCCTTGCCTCGCCAGTCGATCCAGGGCTCGTGCTTCTCAAGCCAGGGCATGCCCAGGATCATATCATATGGATTCATATCGAGAACAGTGAGCTGTTCGAGGCTGTCAAAGTCTTCAAACTTGACGGCCAGATCCACTTGGACGTTGGGGACAGTGACGACCTTCCCGTCGGCCAGTCACACTGATACCGTCCCGTTGCCCTTGCTTTCTCTCAAAGTATCGGACAGCTTGTTGCTATTACAAGCAACCGTCTGGCGGCGTGTGAACTTCTTCGACGGCCCAGAATTGATCAAGATTCTAAAGGGGTGATCGTATCCCCGTACACATCCGTGTACTACGAGCAACCCGCCGCTGCTCCTCGCCGATTCGAGAGTGCGAAGACTCTCAGGGGCTCGGTCCTCGTGGTACGCGCCACCCGCGCACCCTTCACGAAAACTTAGTTCTTCCCCAGTAGGGTGCCCCGCCGCTACTAATTTCCGGCGTTCTCCTGTCCCCGGGATCCTGGTTTCTACCAGCGACCCTTGAGGACGGGCTTGGGGAAGGACCGTCTGCGGAGGGTTTCCTCGGGGCAGTCGCAGTTGAAGTGGCCCATCTTCCCGCAGCCAAAGCAGCGGATGTCACGCTGTTCAGCGGACCCTAGTTCCATGGGAACTGGTCCGTTGGGGATTGTTCAACCGGGAGCCGACAAGGAGCTCCCAGGCCATGCTGAGGCCGGCGTACGCGCCTGGCGATGGCTGTACTCTTCTTGAAGAGCCACTTGAATCGCCTCTTCAAGGGTGCTTGACTGCACCCGGAACAGCTGAGTGCGTGCGGGGCCCACTCGAAGGCCGTCCATGGTCACAGATATCTTGATGTGTTCGTTGAGTGGGTTTCCCACTAGAGACGCCGTGAGCTCCTGTATCTCTTGCACGTACTCGTGCATTTCGCGCCTCCCTTGTTTACACGAGAGGAAGCGCGAACGCTGGCGGTACTCGTAGTTCGCCGGGAGGAACGCGGTTCGGAGCTGTTCACACAGCTGATCCCTGGATGTGAAACATCCGGGGGATGTTGCTTCCCGTGTGTACACCCAACTCTTAGCACGACCGCTAAGGTTGGAGAGTGCAAAAGCAACACGAAGTTGCTCGGTCGAGATCAGAGCCGCGTCCATCGCGAGCTCTACTTCTCGGACCCAGAAGTGAAGGTTCTCGACTTCCTTCCCTTCGTACGGCTTAACCTTCAGCCGTATTGGCTTCGGGTGAGGCGGATTTGCTTCCGCCGCCTGAGCCTGCAGGTTCTCCCGCACATGCGCGATGAGGCCCTGCTCGTACGCGTCGAACGCACTGACCCGCTCGAGCCGCTCGGCCGGTGTTGACACCACCAGGCTCTGCAGGGCCTCCACCCCTACCATCTTCCGAACCGACTCGAACTGTGAGTCGTTCAGATGAGAGAAGTCGTTCCTACAGATGGCAACCAACTTCAGAGAGGTTCAGGTAGTCTACCCGCGTTGGCGTGGATTGAATACGAGTGCAACCAATTATGACGGGGTCACACAGCACCTTGCGCTAGATAAAGTTGGCTTCCGAGAGTCTACAAACTCTCAGTGAACGGCAGTTCACAGGTCCCCTCTTTATTCAGAGAAAGTGAAGTGACCTAAATAAGGTAGATTGCAAACTGAGTATATTTATAGGTAGATAAAGCTTGGGTTTAATACAAACTATAAGTCACCTATAGAAATGCAATGTCGTTAGCCAATCGTTGGCTTTGAACGACCTTGGTACTTTGTACCAAATCCCGAAGTATGACGTGTCATACTCCTGAAGTGCGAAGTGTCACACTTCATGTAACCAGAGTACACTTAGGGATACGTACCCCGTTACAGCCCCCCCCCACTTAGGTTCGGTTTACCGACCAATCAGAATGAAGAGGTGCTCGTCACAAACTCTCATTCTCAAAGTCGAAAACCATCGACTTGGCCGCGCGAGCGCGGCGGACGCTCACTTCACAGTTAGAGCCTCGAGCAGCAGTTTGTGAGCTCTTCTTCTAGGTCTCCACTTCGACCGTTTCTATGCCTCGTGGCACAGCAAAGAGCGGTGCTAAGACACGCTCCAAGGCTGCTGCCGATAAGGCGCAAGCCAAGAGCACTAAGCCTCACGGCAAAGGCTCGGCACTCAAGGAGGCTACTCAGGTGGCCTCCGAGGCGATCGGTTCCTCGGGTGACGCGGCTGTGGGCAAGAGAGCAAGCAAGTGCCGCAGCCCGTCTCCCTCGGCTTCTCTAGACAACCGTCCGAACCCTCGGCTCGTAGAACGTGAGTTCAACTCTGGTAGTGAGGACGAAGCCGAGTCCGAGAGCACGCACGATGCTCCTGCGGGCTCTGCGGGAGGGCACAGCCCAGTGTGCAGTGAGCACAAGGATGACAGCGTGCAGTCACTTGCTAGTGATCAAGGTGATCACAGTCCCAGGACGTTTGTGCGCTCTGAGAGTCCGGCCGTCAAGGCTAAGGGCACTCCCAAAGCCGGTGGCGATGAGGAAGAGAATCCTCGCAAACGTCTCTCGCTTGCCGAGGGTCTTGCGCGTGCTAAGGCCTCTAAAGCCGAAGGCGCCAAGCCCTCAAAGAAGCGTACAGCCTCTAAGTCTCCACTCCGCGAGGAGAAGGAGACTCGACAGTATCTTCGACTCCTCGGATGAAGAGGAGGAGAAGGAGGAATAAGAGGAGGGGGAGGAGGGTGCTATCGTTGAGCCCGGGAGGTCGCGAATGACCTCGACCAGCAGCAGGAGGAATTCCAAGCTGCCCAGCGTGTGCGTGGGGGTTCGGTGGCGGCACCCGTCAGCCAGGGAGCTGCCATCAACTCAAGAGGGTATTGGCCTCCCGAGGAGAGCTCTGGGGCGACCTCTTCTTAGAGCTTCTTGTCACTCCTTGTGGCCT